CCGGAGGTGTTGTTGTACAAATAGCCCGCGAGGTCAACAAGAGTAGAGAGCTGAAACTTGGCATGATGTAATTACTTTATTGCCTTGTCGAGTGACCGCGCACTTGGGACCCGATGAATAATTGAACCGGAGAAATCAGAAACAATCGGGGAACCAGTTTGCGCCGTCATTTGTCAACTTATCGCGCGGTTTTTTTCCGCCAGAAAGTTGGCGATGCCTGACATGGGCTGATAATGGTCTGGGTCCCGCAGATTTCCTCTTTAGTGCACAGTTTTTCAGTATCATCAGGGTTGTTGTTTACACCCAACCTCGGGGTGTTTATAAAACAAGGGTTTTAAAAGTCTCTTTAGATCTCATATTTTCTAGGATCAATAATATAACCATTTAAAGTAGTTACGATAAAACTAATAAAATCAAATTATATAAAACAGGTTTTTCAGTTAATGTAATATAGACAGTATATTCTGGTACTGTGCGGAAAGTAGCCAAACACATTTAGGACAGCTCGTATGAATATTTTCACCGAATGGTTTCTTCAAGACCAAAACTGGGAAATGTTTGAAGGTGACCAAACGAGTTTTAAAATGAAACCAACCACATAGTAAACAACAAACAAGTTACAAAATACATGGAAAATCTAGGCTGGATTAATTTAGAGATAATAAATACAAAGTGTAACTTTTTGATTTACCAGCCAATAAAAACCCGTTCAAAATAAATTTTGATGAATCTATTTACCACAAATGAATTAACTGAATGAATGAATGAACCATGTTCACAAACTCCAAATAGTTCAATACCAAAACCTTCACACATTAATTAAAAGATCTTTTTCGCGGTATTATAAAAGTATCAATGGTCCTGATGCACTAGGCTAATAACACACAACTATTCCCATTACAACTATTGATTTGAGCGTTGCAGCTACCAACCACAAGATCCAAACAGTCAAGGATGAAGAGTCGGGGAAAAGAAAATAAGACGTTGAAGAAGAATCACATAAATCAAGGAAGAGGGGAATTAGTCAGACTGACGGGTTGGGACTAGTTCTGAATTGGGCTCCAATAAAGAGAATCACATTCCAGCAGGGCTGTAAACTCGACTGATTTACAAATTGGGTCCGGGCTTTAGAATGCCTAATGAGCCACTATCAGTGGCTCGGCTAAATCAAAGGTGACACTTTAAGAGTGTAGTACAAGCAGTGATGGTCTCCGCGCTAGGTGGCAACGCTTGTCACATCTTCTATCGGGACATCCACCGGCGCCGCTGGAATCATTTTAGTTTGAAATTCACTGACACTAGTTTTATTCGTTGAACTGGCTCAAAATTTGACGATGTGTTTTTTTGTTTTCCAAGTAAAGGGAATAGTATTTTGGGAAACCACGAAGGAGAATACATTTCGCACCCACCGTCTTCTTTACAATCGTTTGCTTTGAGTTAACGATCCTGTTATTTCTTTGTATTTTCTCCCATTTTACAAGGTTTTACGTGCTTTAATTTTATAACTGCGTATGTACCTACTAGGAAAATAGTATATCGGGAAACTATGAAGAATTGAATTTAGTTCGTATTTATTAAAAGCTATTGGTGTTCATTTATCATTTATACAATAATGTCAATATACATTTGTTTTAAACACCATATGAGAAGGTGCAACTTTGTTACTGTCAAAATCAGCTGTTTCCGTAGCAAAGACTGTGTGTTTAAAGCTAGTAACTTCAATTAAATTGTCAAGGATGGTATTAGATTTTTGCAAATGGTTTTTAATTTGGATAGAGAATTTTACGTAACTGATTCGTGTACAAAACAGTATATTATATAATCATTTCTATTTTGTATATCGTTACCCCTGCGAGACGTCAATTAAGTTATATTTATTTGTAAATAGTTTTTTTTTCATTATTCTAAGAATGAAAACATAATGTCCATCGGTATATTTTTCAAAACAAAGATATGAGGATATGTTTTTATCGTCTAAAAACTAAAAAGTCAATTATAAAGTGGTCAGTGTTTTCCCAGCTATTGTCATTATTTCTCAACCATCGCGACAGATTTCCCGAACAACTTCAATAGGTAAACACACACGGGGTTTCCAAGGAACTGCAAACTGCAATAAAACTCTGTTCCAAGTAATCCCACTTTTCCCGAGCGATTAAAGCAATTAAGCGGCAATGAGATAAAATCTTAATCATAACCTACACTAATGAACGACTGGTAAAAACTGACCAGCTATTAACTCTTCACCTTCGTGGTGTTAATGCCACTTTTTAATTTTCGCGTTTAATTGTCTTCAACAATCAATTCCGGAGCAACTTTGTTGCATAGTTGTAAGTAATTATGGCAAGTGAGTTGCACTGTAGGCCTCCACGGTGATATCCTGTGTTGTAGCTGTGATTTATACCTGTTAATTAGCTCAATTAGTATATTTCCCAGCATCCCGGCTCTACGCGTGAAACTCCTCATTCAGACCACCTGTGTTTATCCAAAACCTGTTATTGGAGAACTGGACGGTCAAATTGAGCTATTGGAGTGCGCCGCTTCCTACTCCCATCGCGTCTAGGTCTGGGTCACATTTATAGCCCAATTTCCGTTTTTTCCGTTTTATTTACCTTCCGCTTCCGGTTACGATTGTTGATAAGCTAACACCCCGGGTAATTGTTTGGCGGGAAACTGTGAAGCTGTGTTTGCATTGCGTGGGAGTTTTTAAGTTCTAAAGGTGGACCGAGTAGAGGCGAGACACTTGGTATTCGCTTGGTATAAGAACTGGATTTTTCACTTGTGTTAATTCCTTCCTATCATATTTGAACATAAGCTGCGTTTAGGTTACAGTGTGTAAAATGAATGTTTTGGGAAAGTAAAGTAAATTAGTTGACTGAGGGCTGTAACGTCCTTTTATGTTGAATTAAATATTCCGTACGATAAAACTTGTATTACACATATTCCATGTATGTTCGTTGTTTGTGAACGATCGTAGTATTTGTACTGTAACCTTTTTAGCTTGATCATAATTGATTACACATGTAAGATCCAATAATTGGTTCTGATCTAATTGAAATCAAACTCGAAGTTGCAACATAAACGTGCACCGTGCTTGCTGATGAGAGCCTGGGTATGTCACATGCACAGATGCAACTTGAGGCCAAATTGAAGACAGGACTGGCCGGATTAAGGTCCCTCCAGTAGCGCATATCAATCAGTAGCAGTAACAGTAACAGTGTAGACACTAATGCAGCCCCACCATCCCGTAATCCGGTTAGTCCATGCTGGTCTCCCTGGGTAGGGCTTACCTGCAAGATAGAACACTGATCAATAGTTCACATCTCGGGTAGAGTAGGTAACACAACTGTATACAGTTGAGGAACAAACCAGTGCTGGGGACAACAAACCAAGAACAGCATAAGAAGCGCCACAATCTTTGTTTACAAAACATTTTTGGTTTTCTTTGAGAAATAAAATTTCCAAACATACGAATCAACGTAAATTTGAGAATTAACATTCTTGTGTGTAAAACAAATGTTCCCGTTTTTATACCATTCTAATTTACGACCAGTTCTCCCTTGTGCGGTCAGATGAGTTGCCGAAAGGCCGATTCACTCATTCCGTGTTTCCTCGATAGCGTATCACAGAATCAGTCGGTTTCCCCAGTAACATGGAAACACAGCTCTCGTGCGAGTCTCTCGATACGGATCGCCGGCGGGGTCGGATGACTTAATTTACAGAACAAGTGATCGGCGAAGATAGAATCGCCCGATTTATGGCAACCGGCTTGACCGATCGTCCGATTCCGATTCCAACCATCGCTTTCTCTCGTTTCTCCGTTTATGGAAATCTCCGAAGACACCAGCGATCGGTTTCCTGACCGCATTTGCATAATCGGTTTGGAAACAATTAAGCCGGGATATGGGAAGCTGTTAACAGACTTTTGGGCCGAACAGAGGATAAAGTAGCGGGTGACAGAATGAGCGCTTATATCACTTATCGATCAGTTCAACTTTGATTAATGGATTTCTTATTAAATCGATTAGAAAATTACCAGGGTTAAATTAGTTTTCTTAATCTGTGGTTAATTTAATGGCCAGTTTTCTTTTAGTATATTGCAACACAACTCAGCTCACCATATAAGTGAACTAAATCAATTTGCTGCTGACGTATGGCGCAATATAACTTACTTTTCAGCTGATCAGTAAAACTATCTACCAATATTATAACACAATATCTATCAGGGGTTTTTAGGGGGTTAGCAATGAGTAATTAAACTTAAAGTCCACATTATAGAGAAATTATGTATCACTATTACAAACTCAGTTGTTTACTGATCCCAAGATGACTGAGAAGTATTTTACTCCGGTAGAGAAAAACGAATATTTAGTAAATGCAGAACCCTATCAATTCCATTTCAACTTAACACCTAAAACTGAATCATTTAGATACCCCTTGTCTATAAACAAGCCAAGTTCGCAATACATGTAAGGTTATCAACGGAATCAATGTAGAGTGTAACGGGTCTGCTTCCAAGCATATCGGAGAGCTCTTGTTTACCCTGGACCAGTTGACCGAGAAAGCTGCAGCAGATAAATCGCACGCAAGAACGGGTCCAGCTGTACGATCTGTATCCGCGACCGGGTGACGAATATGTCTCATTTGCAGACTAGCGGCGACTCTCGACCGGTCCCGGTCAACGCTCGCCTTGTCGCCCAGTTTACGGAAACACTCCAAATGGAAAGTTGTGCTGAAACGGAAATTTGTGAGGGTAATTCACCCGTACACAGCCTCGCTTCCACTTTGGGATTTCGCTTTCTCGGACTCCCAAACGGGTCTTTGTAAAGAACGAGCAATTATGTTTAGTGGTAAATCTTATGGTGTTGATCTTGTGTGCATAGAATAAGGTCATAAGTTAGTGAATGAGGTTGAATATATTTCCTTAGACTTTACCTCTTATCTTATCCAGAGAATGTTCAATTCCAAAACATTGTTCCTTATACTATGTTATCTTGTTGCAGACTTCCCATGGTGAACATGGCAGAAGCAGAGCCCGCGGCGATGTTCCTGACAGCCTCACATCATCGTCTGCAGAGCCTGGACGTGGACATGACCTCAGACGCGGACTCAGAGCCGGACGAGGCACCATCGCTCCTCATGATGCGCTCCTTCCACCCGACCAGTGGCGAACTCAAGAGAAACAAGAGGAAGAACTTCCAGCCGAGAAACATCTCCTACGAGGATCCGGAGGTCTTCAGGAGGAGCCGCGATAGCAGTGGTGACTCTGGAGACGAAGGCGAGGCTCTGGACTTGAGCAACGCTGACGCAGTTCCTAGTGGAAACAAGAGGTTTCGAAAGACTTTGTTGGCTCCTCCCGCGAAGAGGTTCGAAGAACGCAACGACCACGAGAACGCGCCTGTGCCCATGGACCTTAGTTGTGGCAAGTCACATAGTGATTATCCCGACGAGTCAGTGCACAGTGAGACCGAGTCAAACTCTGAGGACAGTGAGAGGACCGAGTCCAGCAGCAAACGCGAGTTCCAACAAGCATCGCCTCACCAATACCTCCTGCACCACGCGTTCCTCAACCAGCCCCAGGATGCGTCTGATCTCAAGGAGTACGCCCAGAACACTGTCAAGGAGTTGCTGGAGATCTACGGCCTCAACAGCGCGGAGGTCGCTGAGTCAATCACTAACAACGTCCCCATCTCCAATTTCAACTCAGGTCAGTGAATTGACTATCTTGATGAAGCAGTCCATACTAACCTACGTAACTAGTATTTTACTGGTTTATAAACTGTCACAAAGAATTCTTAGGTAAATATGAAATTTTTAGTACGATTTCATTATGTCAGTTCTCTGACTTGAGTGCATCAGAAGCTTGTTTTTACTATTGGAAGGCCAAAAACTGGTTAATGTCTTTTTAATTATAGGCTAAATGCGAAGTTAAAGAATATTTAAATTGAGCAAGTATATTATCTGATCTTTGCAATTAAGAATATTTTAATCTGTAAAATCGTATTACTATACGTGCATCATACGATCATACACAAAACTAAGTCGACATAAAAATTACCATTGCTAAATATTTAAAAAACACAGTACTTGTAAATAACCTGTTTGAGACAAACAGGAATTATTTCCTTGTTACTAACTCGCTGTACAAAGTCTAGAGCACGTGTTTACAGCCAAGACTCGCTAATCAGCAAACCCAGCTTGTCGCTTTCTAATCAGCATTTTAGTCCAATACCAGAAGTTGGTAATCCATTGGTGTGAACTAGCGTTAGTCGGTGATTAGAGTCGGTCCGACAATCTGTTTGTTTTCACGCCAAACAGTGTGTTAAACAGCTCACCTGATCGTGAATGTTTTATGGTAATGTCCCTGTGCAGTGTTCAAACGTCGACCACATCGTTTCACTGTTCCTCGGGTAAACTTTGCAGTCACTTTGTTATGACTGATGGGGGTCATTATTTAGTCTGTTTAACGCCGTCCGGTCTTACAGGAAAATGTACTCGGAGTAAACACTTCCGAGAAAAGTCCACTTTGCAGACACGGCCGGAACACCGGCAGTCAAAACAGCACGCACGTGTCGCCCGATCGGTCACGCGTACCACTGTATTCATATTCCGATTTCTCCGCTCCCGTTCGTAGGTTTACGACCGACTAACAAGTCTCAGTGCCGACTAATCGCCTATCGTAATGAGCGCATAAACCGCCTTTGTCACATTTATCGCCGCGTATTATTCTCCGTCGGCCGAGGGCAATAAACCCGGGAACAAAGCGGCCGAGCGGATTGACCTAAGTAATATTAATATAGGTATTCGGTATTTATGAAATCGTGCGCGGTCGGATTCCGATTCCGTCGCCGTCATTAATCACGGTCGATCATTACACAAGCTGGGCGAGACGTCTGGCTCCGGAGTCCATCTTCGGGTAATTAGACGGTAATTGTCTTCGCGCCCTTTTCATACTTGCTCCGGTTTTGATAAGATCTCGTGTTTTGTTCTGGCCCCGGGGTGACTGACAGCACAATGATGTTGAAATATTGAGCCTGGACGGACAAAGAGGATCTCATCGCCGAGGAGGAAGGCCGCTGGTTTTGTATACTTGATTGCGTCGACGGAACGTCTTCGATTGTGTCTAGGATTAACTAGTACTAGTCAAAGATTAAAGAAAATTAACGAACACTGAATTATATCAAGTAACATTTTGAACCCCTATTTCATCTATTTGCCAAGAGTAACTACACCATGGATTTATATCTTCTACCAGCCAAATATCTACACACGCATTTGTGATTAGAAGAGTAAGATGACTAAACCTAACTAAAGGCTAAAATTGTTATCAAAACGCATTCCACAACACTGCATTACGTAACACAAAAGTTCATGATTGTAATAGATGCGTCAGCAAAGTTGAATACCGGTGCGATATCGTAGTAATTTGAGAGAAACGATGATTTTATTTAGTGATTTAGCAGAAGACTAATGAATAATGATCCAAGTTCCCAGCTAGATTGGACATTAACTCCGTTCACACCTGCTAGTCATCAATCACCTCGCCTATTCCTCAAATGAAGCTAATATTACTAAGAACACAAGGTTGGTGGTGAGTTTACTCTTTCTAAGAGGTAGTTGCAACGGACTCAAAAGAATGATCCTTGGACCCTTTACGATGAACAAAATAAAAAAAATCGTAACACTAAATCTGGAACAATATCTGATGTTAATTTTAAGGAAAAGTATAACTTAACGACCGTATTTTGTAATATTCCGGCTGTAATAACAAAGCCTAATAAAACGCGAGGCTGCCGTCATAACGACGTTTTGTTAATGTCCAAAATGATGGAAGAAGTTTGAGATCCTGTTTTGCAGACATTTTCGCGAGTTCCAATAAACCGTTGCCATGGCAATCCGTAATGCCGGTTTGGCAATAAAATTGAAATAAAGCGGGCAGTAAAAAAGAAACATGGCGACCGTTAAAAGAGTCATAACAGGCGAAATGAACGAGTAAGATGTTGCCACTTTTTATTTCCCGAACTTCTCCAAAAGCGCCACACACGATGTAAATACCGCTAAATCCGGGGATGAATTCTCTAATAATCGCAAAGAGTTTGCAAGAACTTTTATTAATGGCCGCCAATAAATGGGCTTTCTTCGGATTTATTAGAGGTCGGATTTAGAAGTAATGTATTTTTGCCAATAGCTTTCTTTATGTGTAATTATTTCTTGCTACATTTGTTTTGTTTTACGGCTACGTGAATCTCCTTTCCGATCAATTTATCGTTCGGAATTTATTTCTTAACATAGACAATTAATAATTACACTGTATACTGGATGTTAGTGTTTAAATTAAAATCTACGAATTCAATTATTACCTACGAGCACGATGTTTTCTTTAATCTTACGCAATTTAACATAGTTCTCGAATACTACAAAACGTATACTTTTTTTACCAGCCGTCATGTCATAATGGTCATGGCAAATCTTAAACATTATCAATACAAGTTAGACAAGTATACACCAAAAGTAACTAGACACATATTATTTCATCCTATAATCATCTTTATTTTTTTAATCGATATTTAAATTGGACATTATAGAAAAGTAATCAAAAAATATATTTTACTAATCATCCTGTCCACTCTGATATAGTTTACTTTATAAGTTTCATTTCCTACAAGCACGAGGTAAGGCGTCCCTCAGGGATGCACGCTAGGGCCACTATTCTTTGCCACTTTGAGACGTCCCTTTCATCACTCCAGACCCCACGACGTCTGACCCAAGCTCGCTCTTGTACAATGAAATCATTATACCGCGCCCAGCACTGCACAGCCCCACCCATCTGATCTGGATTCCATCATTAATGAGTTCGGATTTCCATGAGGCGAACACTTGTTCCGCGGAGAAAGTTGTATTGATGGTCCATTGTAGACTGATACGATAGGCTGTCCATCTGATATGAGATGGCCGATTGTCGCCGACCGGTTTGGAGTTCTGCGCCACTGTTTTTGCGGAATTTGGAAAACAATTGTGAGCAGAGGCCTACACGGGGTTTAATGTTTAGAGGGTTCTGGGGGTAATAAGGGTTATTAAACGACGTTAAACCTTCAAACCATTCAGTAATTAAGGATTGACAGACAGTGGAAACATTTACTATAGTTTCAGTTATGCAAGTTTTTACGATATATTTACATATTTTTTATCAAACTTTACCTAATATTTATATTCTTTTATCTGTTACCTTAACATGACTTTTTATCAAAATTACCGTCCGTATAAAATATCCGTTTTAAAAGTTTTTAACCCCTAAATTGTTGCTTGTAATTTGTTTCTTAATAAAATATTTAAAAGTGTCACCAAGTACACAAATAAATTGAAATAGGTACATAATTTTAAGCTGCGGCATTCGCAAAAGAATATATATTTGTATACCTCAATATAGCCTTAGTGTGAATTTATTAAATGGTCATAAATAATGTATGTTTCATATTAAAAATACTATAGGTAAAATACCATCGGAGAATCTTAAAACTTATTGCAAAAGTTTTGCCAAGGGTTATTTCTTTGATAATTCTTGATATTTTATACTTAAGCATTTTCCAGCAACGTGTGACATGATTAAATTGGTTTAAGGGTTTAAACCAGAAAGTTATAACATACTATACTGTACTTTGAAAAACTAAAGATTAAATGTCGGCTACTTTAAAATGAAACATGAATGAAAAATATCTTTATTCCAAAAAGGTTGTGTACAAAACTATTCAATGAAGAAAACAAAAAACGTAAATGTGAAATCAAAAGAATAATAGATTAAATTAACCTTTTACTTAACATCTTCGTTTACAAAAAAGATTAACATAGTTTTATGGAATAAGCCGACATATGCAGCGAGAATGTGCGTCGACTGTAGTTTCGTCCAAACCCAAACAAATCATTATTTGGCCAAATAGAAAGAAGAAAAGGAAATCACATTCTTCGGTATTCCTAATCTTAATTTGCAGTAAAATATACATTTTGCAGTGCGATTAATCTTCATTATCTTATATTTATATAACCATAGATTAAAGGAGTAAACTCTTTTAACAAGTCTTTTAATTTAATTATATTTTAATTCCTCTATTTTAATTTAGTTCTTTTTCTTTGTCTACTCCTTTGATCTATTATATAACCAAAAAAGATTCATGTATGCCATATTTATGTTTTTACTATTTTGATAAATACCAATAAAATAATAGTCAAACAATTTTTTTTTTAATTTCCACACATTCTACAGTATATGTTTTATACACTAATATTTTTATAATATATACGTTTTGTTCCAGCTTTTCAAAATTTATACAAGACAATGATTCGATTCTAATCAAAGAACAGCGATTAAATGGGTTCAGATCATTAACTTATGGTGAGCTAGGGCGGGTTGTGCGCGACTATCGACCGCAGCGCTACGGGGTGTCGGCGCCGCGAACTAAGACCACTTACTGCTCTTATATTGTTACAGCTTACAGCGCGTCCGATATCCGTCTCTTATTTATCGGATAATGCTTTCCTCCCTTCCGATAGCCGATTGTCGCAAGAAAACAGCGCAAAACAATTGTTAAATGTCAAACGGATGGCGCCAGAGTGGTTAAGCAATGGGTGGGACTAAAATATTTATTAGCATTAATTGACAGTCTCCGTTAATGTAACAACAGTATTTGTTTTTGAGGTGATGAATGACGATTT